TATATGTTACTTCTGAAATCAGAAGGCTTTTCTGCAGACTACCACGTAAATACTACCTACTTTAGAAGTCTTAACTGGTTGGGGTTACCTATGGTAGTCACTGCTCCCCTTCCAGGAGAAAGTTGTGGTAACTAATGTCTTTCCTCTAGGAGTTATGCTTGTTCTTTCTACAACAGTTCAGCAAAATAAAAATATTTTTAAGCACTCTCTGGAATCAATTTCTTGTTTAGGTATTGAGACTTGTTCCCCCAACATTTACCTTATTAACTACTACCAAAGCACCTGGGACTTTAATTATGAAGGAGACAAGAGTTAATAAAGCCTAGTAAAATGTAAACAATTTGTCAAATTCTGTAGTGTTGCTTCTTTCTTCCCACACACACTCCTGCTATGCACCGGGAGATGCACTGAGCACCCTCACCTGTCTTGTGCTTCTACTACTGTATTATCTGGCATCAAGCCAAGGGCCAGAACTGCCCCTGCAAAAGCCTCTTGACTCTAAAGCTATTCCACTTCCAGCTTCTGGGCCCCCCACATGCACTGGCTTCTTCCCCAGTCCCAGGAAAGGCCCTAGCAAAGTGTGCCTATGGTTGTGGCCTTTTGTAGGACTGACAGAATACATTCTAACTGCAATCAACTAAGACGGTTGCCTTTTTCTACTACAACGTCATTCCCTTTACGTCAGGCAGCTCAGGAGGGGCTGTCGGCATTTTAGGGATGCAGCTAAGGGCACAATGAGCTGGAGACACATTTAGTTTGGATTTAGTGGGATGTACTTATGTTTTCAATTACTTCTTGTGTACACTTATCTCCAGCCATCTCAGTGCAGGTAAAGCTTCTAGGGACACTGATGTCACCCACTATGCCTGCCCACCAGAGGAATGTGAAACAAAAGTACAGGGCTGGGATTCTGTGGCAACCTGTACAGATCCAATGGTGCCCAGCAGTGGAGGTGTGTGGGCTATGAGAAAGAAATAAGCTTTGAAATATGGCAAGCCAGATGCTCATCTGTGGGAAAATGATTATCAGACCTGTTAAAACTGTAACCAGAGAGATTAGTACCCAATAAACGAAACTGGGTTGTCACAAAAGTAACTGTTAATGTTGTAGTGTAATTATAAATGTATCACCATTTTCCTTTCACTTTTTTTTAATGGAATTGTACAAAACAATTTATCAGAACTCCTGCTTTTCTGAGACACAAACTGTAGCTGTACTAGAAACAGCAAACATATTATCTACAGGTGTAATCATGTTTTATGCATCCTAACTATCAAAAATTTGTGGTCAACTATGCTAGAGGGATCACTGAACTCTTCCTATTCTCTGTCATGTGAAGAGGTGATCTCAAAGGACACAGGCTACTTTTATGCTATTTATTGTTCTTATTATTAGCTTTTTCAAATGTAGAACTTTTTCTCATTCTAAATAAATACTCACCTTCCAGCTAATTATTATAACATTGTATTCTTTAAAAGAAAAAAAATTATTTTTTGAGAAAGGAAGTTCACAGGAGAGAGCAAATGGGTGGGGGAGAAGGACAGAGTCCCAAGCAGACTCCATGCTCAGAGCCCAACTCAGGGGATTGATCTCATGACCCTGAAATCAAAACCTGAGCCGAATGCCCAACAGACAGTGTTAGCCAGGCGCCTCCATTATATTCTTTTTCTTAAAGAGACTACCTCCCCCAAACTGTATAAGCTTCAGGACCTATAAAAGTTGGTGTCTGCCCTTGCCCCAAATGAAATTTGATTAATTCATTCAAACATTTATTGAGGACCGAGTCAGTACCAAAAAAGCCTAAGAATGTAAGAACATGGGAGTTTATGGGCGAGAACACCCCTTATCACAGTGGGAGAAGACAGAAGTGTGTTAAACGGTGGTGGGCACCACTGAGAAAGGAAATCTAGGCGGGCAGACAGGAATTTGGTGGGTGGCAAGAAAGGGAGAAGGCCTCCACAAGAGGGCATCTGTGTCAGGCCTAAAGACTCTCCTGGTGCATACTGTAAGAGCCACAGAGTCCCAAGGGATGGCCACTGCTAGGAGGCCACACCACACCCTTGCCAACATCATCTCATTCAATCCTCATGACCCCCATCACACAAATCAAGGACTCTGCCTCAGAAAGGTTAGTGACTTAATGACGGTACTCAGCTCTGCAGGCGGCCTCAACCCGACCCTGACTCCACGGTGTGCTATCTCCTCTCGGTGTATTCTAGTTTCATGGGATTACTCCGCCTCCCACCCCCCACCACACACAAACTGGTATTTTAATTTACAGTCATTCTGAAAAGTAAAAATAAAAAGGTACTATAACATAGGATGTTTTCTTCTGTCCTGTAGCTGGGAGAGTCATCACCACATTCTATATTAAAGGACCTTCTGATTTTTGCTTTTCAAAATGACTATAAATTAAAACACCAGTTGGTGGGGGGGTGAACCCTAAAATAAAACTACTTATATGACTAACATCCCTTCTCATCCTTGTCCACGTCTTCACAGATTTTACAATAGTATAACCGCTGTGTACCCTGCTTTCGCCTTTTTGGTTAAGGCATGTTTTTGAACAGATTTCCATAGATCAAATGTTTCAAATTTTGTGTAGAGGAAAGGACAGGAAGAGGATTGCCAGAGCACGTTTACTGGTTGTGGAGTATTCTATCATGACTCTACTGACAGGAACTGCATATCAGAGTTTGTTTTCAAAACTGGGATTCCAAAATGAAAATCTTTACCATATACTGCTAGTTGCTCCCCAGAAAGAGCAGACCAATTTACAGAATCACCACCAGTGTAACAATCCCTGGAAACCCACCAAACACTGGGCTTTATCATATTAAGTTTTGTGTAACTCCCACTTTTTTGACTCCCTGTTGCCAAGGTAAAACCTGGAGTAGAAAAATACACCACAATCCCCTGATGCCCTGGACACTCACATCTCAGAGCACGACCCAAGTGACCTCACCTGGACACTCAACTTTATAGTGGGCTTTCCTGCATGCTCACCACCACTGCTGCACGTAGGACGCTCACGACCCACTGAGTGAAAGGGGCAGGCAGTAAGCTGATAAGAAAGTGGGTAAAGGAAAAACAGGAACAAAACTGAAAAGCAGCAGAAAGAGAACTGTTACTGTCTGACTACTGAGGAGGTACTGAGGTGACCAGAAGCCAGGCTGTGTGGACAGAAGGCATTAAGCTTCTACTCTTATCAAACTTCATTTTGCCAATCAGGTCCTATCTTTCCCCCAAAGCAATGTAACACTGCCTGAATCCCGCCCGCTTGGCTCTACGGTGTGCCAGGTTGTTCTTCCACCTGATGATGCAGTGGTTAATGTTCATTAAGCATTTGTTGTGTGCTAGACACCTACAAACAGCTCATCTATAGACACTGAGTCCTCACAACCACCATATGAGGTAGCTAAATTTTAACACCACTTTATCAGTATGGAACAGAGACAAATGACTAGATCATATACACTTCCTTTTTTGGGAAATGAATTAGTACAGAAGGACCCTGGAAGTCTACTCTGAAAGGCAGGCCCCGCATATAAGTGCACCAGTAAACCGGTAGTTGGGGAAACAGCACGTCAGCATCTAGTCTGGACAGCTCAGAGCCAACGGGGCACTGAGAGTCTGCAGTAAGGCAGACACAGAAGCAGCACAGCCAGGGTGTGACCCCAAACCGGTCCCTCCACTTCCTCTGCTTTCACACAGGGCAGTGAGACCTGGCCAAGTCTCCTTCCCAGACTGGGAGAGAACCAAATAAAATCAGGATGAAGCTCCTCACGACCCCTAACACAGAATTCTCCCTTTTGCTGTACAGGGACTCACACATGTCCCACAAACAGCGGATGCACAAAATCAGTCATATTTGGTCGACAAGCAAAGGTTACTCCATGCCTTCCTACCTCAAACGTCTTGTCCCATCTCTCTGGCAGAGAGAAAATCTGTGCTGTCTGTCCTCACACAGTCTGCACGAAACCAACACTCTAACCCAACGCCACCCGATGGCTATCAAACTATCCATAGCAGTCCAGGCAAGACGACCTCATGGAAACAAAACAGATGGAGAAAGAAAAACCACCCTTTAAAGATTTAGCCCTGGGTTTTAAATCTTTCCATCATCTCCTTACACTATGTACTGACATTATTTCCTTCCACACAAGACTGAATTTCTGTTTTTCCCAGCCACTACTGACTAGCACCTGAAAGGCCACTGGAAGCTGTGGCCATCTGCATAAATGGAAAAAGTGCTTGTGGGATACACTGTGCCATATTCTGGTCCCAATTTAACTTCGGATGCCTCCCCAATGCCTTAGGATGATTTCTAGACCTTAGCGGACTAAAAACATTAACACCTCATCCCCACCTTCAAGATACAATTGACGTGAAGGCCAAGAAGGGTGTGGTCTCAACCAGTCTGAACTTCCACCTGTGGCTCTGCGTGGGCCTCCACGCGGGACGCTCCCCAGGGGGACACTCCAGGGCCTCCATGCAGGACCCTTCCGGACCCTCCCCCGGGGCTCCACGCCAGACGCCCCCTCCCCCCGCCGCCGACCCACCCCTGACTCCACCCCCTCAGGGCTCCTCGAGGGATGGCCCCTGGGGCCGATCCCCTCACCCAGCTTCCACGCAAGACGACCCCCGGACCGACCTCGCCCCCTCGGACCTCCACTCGGGACGCCCCCCGGGCCGACACCCCCCCCCCCCCCGGCTCCCACCCGAGACGCCCCCAGGGCTGACCCCACCGCGACCCCTCCCTGGGGCCTCCACGCGAGACCCTGTCCGGCCCGCCCTTGAGCCTCCACGCTGCCGCCGGCGGCGGGCTCCGCACTCACGGGCCCCGCCAGCCTACTGGAAGGCCTCCGGAGCCCGGGCGCGGACTCCTCGGGTGGACCACTGTCCTGAGGCGCCCGGCCGCCGCGGCCCTCAGTGCCTGTCCGGCCTCGGCCCGCCGCCCACCCGCGGCCCAGCGTGCTCCCTGAGCCCTGCGTCCTCACCCGCCGACCCGGCCCGCGCCGTCGCCCGCAGCGGCCTTCGGGTTGCGCCAGCTCCTCCAGCTCCCGACCGCCGCACCCGACTGTCCGCGGGCCGCCTCCGCGCCGCAAGCCCCGCCCCGCGCCGCGTGCCCCGCCCGGGCCCGCCTCCGCCCCCGCGGACGCGCTGCAGATTGGCCTGCGAGCCTCTGGGGCGGGGCCTCTACGGCCCGCGGGCCTGCGGCGCGGCACAGAATTATGATTGGTGAATGGACTGGAAGGAGGAGGGGCGAGAGGGGACTGGAGGAGTCGAATGCCAATCAGCAGAGACTCGCCTCGTGGGGCGGTGCTCGGCTCCGGAGGTTGGCTTCAGCCTTGGGCGGAGTTTCGGCCTGAGGGCCGGGGTTTGGCTCGCCGGGCTCGGGGCGGTTCCGGGCGAGGCCCCTCCCCTCCCGGCCCCCGCCCGCCAGCCACCCCGCCATCCACCCGAGTCTACCCTTATTGCACTCCTGGGGCCTCCTGACGGCCCAGCGAGGCTATGGTGCAGTGGAGACTGGCCGCGTGAGGAAGGCATATGATCCCTCTCAGCCTTGTGGTCCCTTTAGCCTCACGACCCCCCACCCGGGAACGGAAATATGACACTACTCCTGGGCCTCCCATGCCCGCGACCACCAGGAGCACACACCCCTTCTTCTAAGGGTTCAGTGAATTCCTACGCATCCTTCAAGATCCTACCCAACTGGCCCGCAGGGGCGGGTCCTGCCCCGCGCTGCCCTCGAGGGGATAAATGTAGGATGGACCTGGGCTCATCCTTGAGGGGGACCCCTCTTAGGAGTTTCACCTCCTGGGCTTGGCCGGACTCCTCACATTTCCTAAAAGAGGAGGCTCGAAAAGCTGACCCTCCCCACAGGGTAGCTTCAGGGTCTGAGGCTCAGCAGGGAGCCAGCAGGGCAGGCACATGGTTGAAGGGCTCAGCCTTGCAGAGGTCCCTCCACCTCCTGTCCCCATGACCCCCATCACTCCTTGAGGCCTTTCCTCTAACTGGTCCCCAGCCCCATGAGAGTCCAGTGGACTGTTTTCACAGCCCACAGGGCTGCACACACATCTCAGGGGTAGACTGACCTCCCCCGTGCCCGACAAAGGTGTGCAGGGCCAGTGGGGGCCAGGAGAGCGCCTGGTCAGAGGGGTAGGGGACTCCCTGGAGGATGCAGGGCCTCTGCCGGCACCCAACAGGAGAGTACAAGGTGTGAGACCAGAGAGGTGCTTCAAGAAGCACTGGTGGGTCCTTGGGTGCTTAGTGGTGTGGGCTAGCCCAAGGGCCATCCAGTCCCCCAGACCAGACTTGGTAGTCCTGGTGTAAAGTGTCCTCTAGTAAGCTGTAGAGCTCTCCATAGTCATCTTTTCTTAGAAATATTTAGAGTAGGGGCGCCTGGGTGGCTTAGTTGTTAAGCATTTGCCTTTGGCTCAGCTCGTGATCTCAGGGTTCTGGGATTGAGGCCCACATCGGGCTCCCTGCTCTGCTGGGAGTCTGCTTTCCCATCTCCCACTCCCTGCTTGTGTTCCCTCCCTCGCTGTATCTCCCTCTGTCAAATAAATAAATAAAATCTTTAAAAAATATATTTAGAATAGAATTTCCTACATCTCAAAAAAAAAAAAAAAAGAATTTTCTACATCTCTTCCAGTCATTTATATTTCTAAGTATTTAGTAGTTACTGCTACAGTGACTGAGATCCCTTTTCTAGCTCCGTTTTCTAATTTGTGAGTAGACATCACTGAACTCTTATTAATGCTAACTTTTAGCACACATCCTCTCACTTTAAGTAGATGGTCAGATCACTTGTTATTAATTTCTCCCTAGTCTTTATGGCTCTCTCTTCTGGGCTGGGATCACCAATACAAAGTTGGGTACTGAGGTTATGAGTGCCAATAATTCCTCCTGATCTTATGCATAGACATTCTGCAGGGCTTTGACCCTTTCTGAGCAGACTTCACACCTTCATAAAGAACCAGTAATAACTCCTCACTTAATAGCCAAACAATAGTGCTTTATTGATAAAAGGTTAGTTTCAATGGATACAAAATTGCTGTGTGAAATAAGTTTTCAAAATACATTTCTATAGGTAAAGATTACCCCTTAGTAAAACATTATCTCTAAGTGAAAGTTTGTATTTAGATTTGGGCAGCAAAACAGAGGGGGCCATAGATGTGAGAGGATATAGGTCTGCCCACCCAAATAGCCCTTATCATGTGACTAACGGCTGGCCCTAGCAGTTCTGGAAAACTTGCAGCCACCATGCACAACTGTGCCCCCAGCACCACCTTTTAAATGGCTTTTCCTAGTGTACTTAATGCCAACGTAACCCAGATAGCTGGCCTCACACGGAGATGCTCTAAAGTCATCAAACACTTTACGTTTCCTCTTGATGGACCTTTGTATGACTGTACCTGAACCTAAGGCTTCTTTATGCAACAATGAGAAGACAAAATTCTTGAGAACACCCGATTACTGTCTGTAGCCCGCCTCTGTGACTAATCCGTTTGGACCACGTCACTTTATTTTGGCCCAAGCAAAAACTCTTCCCATCTTCAGGTGAAGCATTTTCTGTATCTCTGTCCCTCCTGTTAGAGCTAAATGAAAACACGGAGCCAACACCTGCTCCTTCCAGGTGTCCTTTCACCTGTCACTTTCTGGGGACCAGTTTCCCAGTGTCAGTAGAAATGTTGAAAAAAGCAAGCCCCAGAGCCCCTTAGTGCCCCTTGGAGGGAAGGGAGTGGCCAAGGCCACAGAGCACAGAAAACCAATTGGACCAGTGGCATTGATCAGTCCTACACCACGGCACAGATTTGAAATGTCTTTCAGTCTCACCCGACACAACGAAGGATGTGATGGTAGCTGAAAATGTACAACAGTCTGCACATAGAAAAATGATCGCTCCTATCTGCCTTTCAGAAAACTATTAAAAATTTTAGAGAACCAGTTAAAAGAAAGCCAACCCGGAATTCAGGCATTATGGGGTCATGAGCCTCAGGGTCCAGGACCGGTCTGGGTTCAGAGGGCTACCCTCCAAAGGACCCCGATTCTCATTGCGGAGGCAGATCTTATAAACCTATAGTTACAGAAAGCACATGAGAGTGCCATAAAAAAATATAAAAAAGGCTGGTTTCTAAATATATCACTTATTAATTTTCCTTAAAAAAGTTACTTTTCATGTTAGTTGAGTAAAAATCATTTATTGGCTCTATGTGGGTAAGAATCGCTGCTATAATACGAAAACTGGTGCTCACGGACACTCGCTGACACAGCGGAGTATTACCACAAAACATGGCTTGTGGTGTTCTCTGCAGAGCAGCTTAAAAAATGACCTAGCATCAGAAGCCAAAGACTTCTTAAAATTTGCCCCTGATTACCTGTTTTTAAAAGAGCTATTTAAGTATACACATACCGTATTAGATAATAATTCTGTTTTACTTGGTAAAAAAGCAAATGTGCAGATGAATTAACAGTATTGAATTATAGCAGCAAAACTGGTTTTAGGTATTGTGCTCAAAGCAAAGTGAAGCAAGGGAGAAGCGCCATCCTGGTGACCTGGCAGGTGAGTGCCCTGCAGATGCCAGCTCATCTTTCCACATCACTGGATCCACATTGCTAGCACACAGGCACAGGCTGGCTACGTCCGAATGTTCTAGAAATGAAATCAAGAGTGCTCCTCAACAACTAGTCAGGCCAGCCAAATCAAAGAAATTCAATGTTAATTATATATACTGACTGATCCTGGAAATCAGTTCCAACATTAGTGGTTAGTCAAGGTGGAAGAAAAGTGAAAAAATGCAAGGTTCACCTCACAAAATATAAAGTATAACATAGCAACGAAATACAAATGTTAAAAGTACTTCATACAAAACAATACATCAAAAGTTTAAAAAAAAAATTAAATTCTCAGGCACAGGTACTGTAAAATGTGGATGGGCACCCTTCCAATGATCTCTTGGAAACACGCAGCTGTAGAACTCATGCGGAATGTTTTCTGTATCTTGCAAAGCGTTTTCTGGAAAAATACAACACAACATGTTTAAATGCAAGTGGTGCAATGCTCACTGCTATGACCATTAACAGCATCATTTTCTGTGTAACAAAGGGCACAAACTGGACAGAAGTTGACTCCTATGACCAGAGTTAACGAAATCAAAACATCTCCTGGGAACCAGGAGCACCACCGAACAGCAGTGTGTGCAAAATATAAATCAGTTGTATAAACCTAAAGTTGATTCCTCATAACTTCATAAAGTTTTAACATTTAGAGAGGCAGCAAGATCAGAGAAGATGAGCAAACATCTGACACCCCGCCTGCCTCAAAGGAGCCCCACTGCTCAGAAGTCCCATTTCTTTCTAACTCACCAGGCTTTCCCCATCAGGCACCAAACCTGCTCATGCAGCCTCAGCCTCATGGGGTCGGCGGTGCTGACATTCCGCCAGTTATAGGTGTACAGGCAAATTATTTAAAACCCTGGCACACCACAGTGTCCTCATCGGTGCTATGTGGACTCAGCACACACTGTTGCAACTGTTCTAAGGTGTCAACACGATGCTGAACATTGAATAACGTTGAATAAACAACAAACTCTGGCCCAGGAAGGGGGGGGGTTACACGGACATTCCCATTCCAGTAACTAGTTACACCCAACACATGCATCTGTGTGCTTCGTATGTATTTGAGACCTTTCCCCATAAGCCCCAAGGGCAGGGTGCTGTTTTGGCGGCCAGCGCTCCCACATACCCCTGCAGCTCCTTCCTCTATCACCTGCACGTCTGCCGTGCGGGACTCCTGATGGATGTCCCAGGGTCAGGGCTCCCTGCCTTCTGTCTCATCAATCCTGCCCCATGTTAGCAAAGCCTCAGTTCACTCATGTCCCCAAATCTCCTCCTTTTACCATGTACATTGTCCTGCCTCTACAGTCAGGCCTCCACCTGTAGTGGACTTTGCAGCTGCACCCCTAGCTTTCTGTCCCCAGATCTGGGCCTGTGGCCAGAACCCACTCAGTCTGCCTAGCCCCAGGCATCTCTCTTCTAGGGAGCCGTGTGCCTCAGCCCCAACCATACATAGCTGCTTTCTCCTCTGGCCTGTATTTGACTTCACCTCTCTGTCCTTCCTCTGCAAGGTAAGGACAGCAGTCACCTAGAGAGCTCTGAATGCCCACCTGTTCAAAGGACAGAGGGGAAGAGACACTTATTTTTTCCTGGCCCAGGATCCCTGGTGTCTGCAGATTCCCTTCAAACAGGGAGGCCAGCGCACAATGGGCCTGGCACTGTCGTGGGGTGGAGAACTGCGGCAACAGCAGAAGTCAGCAATCCCCCTCGAGGTCCGTGGCCCACCTGACCTAATCTGCCACTTTACGCCATCTTTACCTTTGGTCTGCATAATCTGCTTTAATAACACCTTCAAAACTCTGTTTTCAGCTGTAGTAAGTTTCTAACTGCATGACTAATAAAGGTTATTTTAATATTTGTCTTTGTTAACATCTTTATTAGACAAGCAGAGCTGAGGAGGAACTTCCACTTTTTAGAAGCTGCCTGGTCTCCTTGAATGCCAGCGAGAGTCAAACCCAAGAACTTCAAAATGCAAGACACTAGTGAGACAAGAGAGAGGTATGCGTCATCTGGAAGCACAGTCTGCCCCACTCCAATCCCCGCATTACCTCACACATGGTGCCCATGGGCCCCGCCGTCGCCGTCCCCACCCTGCATCTGCAGCTGCATTTGTGCCTGCATCCTGGCGATCATCTCCTGCATGCGGCGGAGCTACGGGACAGGACATGGGGACTTGTTACTGGTTCCCAAGGCCAGTCCTCCCTGGATACCCTCTAGGGGCGGTGCTGTGAGATTCCTAAAATTTCAACTTCCAGGCTTTCTTAAAACATGACAAAGAGCACACGAAGGACTCTTATAAATCAGTAAAAGAACAAATAACTTAATAGAAAACTAAGCAAATGATAAAAATTCAATTCAATTAAGAAACAGAAATTAACAGCAAACTGAAGAATTAAGAAAGACAGGATAACAAAAGATGCTTTTTAACCTACAAGGTGGGAAAAGGGCTGCCAATCCCAGATGTGGACTGGGCCTAGGACTTGTCTTAAGGGGCAACAAGGCACCCACTGCTCACCGGGTAGATGGCTCTTCTCCACTACCTTCACCACTGTTCATGACTATGGTTTCCACTGGTTTAGAAAGGCCTCCAGGCATGTGGTCATAAAATATTTACCTGAATTTTCTTAAGTAGCTCTGTAGTCATGTTTTTAACATTTAAGTACTTTAATCCATATTAAATTAATTTTTCCAAAGAAGTGAGTCTTATTTCTGTTTCCAAAGGCTGGCCCATTGGAGGGTTTCGTGGATATGTGTGGATTCCACAGACCCCAACGCCACCTCTCGCAGACACTTTTCCATACTTCAGACCCATTTCTGGATGTGAATTCCATCAGCCCGTCATGCCCAAGCCACACACTGGATTTCTATGAGTGGTGGAGCTAACCCTCCCTCATCAGTGTGCATTCACAGGGCCTCCTGTGCTTTCCATTCCCCATCTCCAGACCAAGCGTTGGAACTATTTCAGCAAGCTCTCCCCCAGAAGAACTTCACAAACCAAACCACTCTGCAGGAATGGCATCCAGTTTAGAGAGAACTGTGATCTTTGCAATGGGCGATTTAAAGTCATTAACATGCAATTTAAAGTCATGTGTCCATTTAAATTCTGAAAATTGTTTCCAGGAGAATTTTCTAGTTTCTTCTCCATATCAGTTCTGCATAGTTCTCAAATTTTTGTTAATGAGTGGCAGTCTCTTTCTTTGTATTTCCCAACTTGTCTAGATCTATTATCTATGTATAGAAAAACTACTGAATTTTGAGTACTTTACTAAATTACTAAATTCACTAAGCTTTAGGGACGAAAGTCACTAAATCTGCACTATTCCCAAGTTTTTCCTTCTAAATGGCTACTGAAAATGAAATGATAACATATGTAAAGCAATATCTATACTATAGGATGTACACACAATAAAATAGATTACATGTAATATATTCCTTCTTAAAAAAGGAAGAAAAATTGTAATGATCTGTGGATGTACACCAACAATATCCTTCTCTCCTTACCTCTGCTTCCTTCTCCAGCAGGATCTGGTCTTTATTCATGTCCTCATTTTCCACTTTCCTAAGAGTTGAAAGAAATTACAATTACAATATTGTAACAAACTTAATTGGTTATTTCTGATGACAGATACCCAAAGTAAAATTTCACTCTACATTTCTGAGAAAAGTATTTAAAATGACCTGTTTATCACTATTCTGACTAACACGAATGAATCAGAAAGAAAGATGAGAAAAAACACAGCACAAGATGGTGAATTTGAGAAACTTCTCTAACTCCAAGCAGGGGTGAGACACTTTGGTCTTTCCTTACTTGAAGAGTGGCAGCTGCCATCAGGAGGATGGACAGGTCTTAATGGACATAGACTGTGACAAGGACACTTGAACAAGAAGTAGGGCCTTAGCATCCAGGTCGAGGAGGCCAGCGGGGGAGGCCCGCTGAGCAGGCCCTGAGTGGTGAGGACACAGCTCTTCACGAGTGCACATTTGCCTTCCACATCGGCCTCTAAAACCTTACTTAATACCTGGTCCCCAGGTAAGGCTAAGCAAACCTTAACATACACCCTGTACATATACACAAATCCACCAGATTTCAAAAATGTGAATATTTTAATAAATTACAACACAGCCACCCCCTGGATCTGCGATTACTGTGCCCCATGCCAGGCCATGGATTGGACACACATAACCCTCCTGAAGGGCAGTCAGAAGGTCAGCAGTAGCCCAGCACTGCATCCCAGCACCGTATCCCAGAGCCTCCGTCCCTCCCCACACATTACCACAGGAAAAGGGGTGAGTACAGGGCAAGAAGAGGTTTTAAGAGTCAGACCACATTCATATAACCCTGATGGTAGGCTATAGCTATAATGGTTTCATTTTATTGTGGTTGTTAATCCCTCACGTGTGCCCAATTTAGAGATTAAACTTTATCATAGACAGGTATGTACAGGAAATAGGGGTGTGCATATAAATTTCGGCACCCTCCTCAGTTCTAGGCACCCACTAGGGGTCTTGGAACGGATTCCTGTGGATCAGGAGTGTGGGAGCAACCACTGTACACAAAATTCTTATTATAAATGATACAGATCACTTGATACATAAGCTAAGCAGAGATAGGATGTGATCAGGCATAAATCTGGTCACAAAACACAGATCTTGAATAAAACCTATTACAGTGGTGAAAGAGAAAAGGTGAGGGCACTGTGTGCATTTCTGAGTAGAGCTGCCTTCTTTTTTCTTTTAAAGATTTTATTTGAGAGAGAGTGTGAGAGAGAACATGAAGGAGGGAGAAGGTCAGAGAGAGGCAGACTCCTCATGGAGCTGGGAGTCCGATGTGGGACTCGATCCCGAGACTCCGGGATCATGACCTGAGCTGAAGGTAGTCGCTTAACCAACTGAGCCACCCAGGTGCCCTGGAGCTGCCTTTCTTAATGGCAGGTAGGTCTGCCCTCATTTACAGACAGGGTGATGTTCTTGAGACCAATCTCTGGCCTTTCCAGCTAAACCTGCTCTTTGTGTGCCGATGGTTCATGTTACCGTTGACAGGTTACAGAAAGCAAGGTAAGATGACATTAGCAACAAATGCCTGGTAATAGCTTCTGAGTAGGAAACCAAATTGTGCTGCTTAGAGTCAGGAAAGCCCAGCAGGACAGGGTGAATCTGTGACACAGTATGGAGAGAAGGGGACAGCCATGAGGTGGGGGAAACAACCTGCCGCCTCTCTTGAGCCTCTCAGAGCGGAAGTTTTCATAGTGAAGGTCCTGAGTCACCTCCTGGAGATCCTGCATGTGGGTGCTGGAAGAGAGAAGGGCACGGCAAGGCTGGCTGTGTGTGGGAGCTGTCGGCAGTGAGAAGCCCCACTAGCCGAAACCCCACTTGTTACTTGCTGAATCGTACACAAAATTGCTGGAGTCATGGGGCTGAAGCTTTCGTTCCTCCCTCCCCCCAAAACAGGTGGAAGCACAGCCCACAGGGTTAGGAGAGGAGACCCTTCCAAGTGGCCTCTCCCACAGGTGCTGCCAAGCTCTGCAGGAGCCCATCACCAGTGCCCAGGTAAGATTTTAGCAGATCATTCTAGGTAAACAATGTCTGAAATAGAACATGCTTTTCTGAAAGAACTTAGGAAAAACATGCAATTCATATAATCGAATTCTCCAGCTTAAAGAGTTCATTAATTTAAGCTATGGAAAAGACCATACAATGAAGCACTAATATTTTGAATAAACCAGAAACAGGACTTTAAATCTTCTAATCATCTCAGAAAACATTTATCATTTTCTTGGCTCAGCTTTTTCAAATACTTAAACAGCCAAGAATGAATAAAGGTAACATATTCCGTCTCCTCAGAACGTGAGGAAAGGGATGGAGAGCAGGCAGAGGGCCGGCGTGCTCTCGCTTGCTCTAAGAAATACACAACGCACAGGAAGGCTCCACCTGCAGCCTCCACGACAGCAGAGTGACCACAAGAACCCGTCCCGAGCTTCCTATGCGGTGACTGAATTGTTGATAAAGCTTAGTGGTTTTAATCAATTTTCAGTTACTCAAAATTTACCTAGATCACCCACTCTAGGATGCAGTAAAGGGATCTTTGATTTCAGCAATACTCTTTGTATGCCTCTTGATTCAAGAATAGCATCAACTACTGTCACTTTTAGATGAACACTTTTTAGAGGAAAATGTCTGCTTTTGTAGTTAGATCTGTTGCAGGTGCTAAGAACACACGGAAGAACCTCAGGGCTGCCTGGGGCGGACCTGAAATGGTCGTGTGTGGCGGCCGAGGGTGGAGAGGCCGCCGTGCAGCCAGCCTGAATATCTGCCCCCAGAGCAGGAGGTATCCCATGTTCGGTGCGGCCATGCCACAGCGCACATCTGGTCTACTTTCAGCGTCAAGAATGCTGGGAGACTAGGGAGGAGGGTGTGCTAAGCACTTGGTCTCGAGAGGGACAGGCGGGTTCTACAGTGTGAGTCCCAGAGAGCTCTCAGGGACGGTCTTCCACAACAGGCTGCAGCGGCCCCTGCACGCCCAGCAGTCAAAAAGCTTCATGCTCTGTGCTCGACACTGCCCAGGGGAATGCCCAGGGATGCCCGGGGATGCACAGGCGACACACGGGGACGTATAGGGAAGCAAGGGGGACGCCTGGGAATGCCCGGGGTTCTTACATGAGCATCGTCCGCAGCTTCAGAAAGTCGTTGTGTTCCGGGTTCTCCACCTCCACAACGCCCCACGGGTAGAGGCGGCCTCTCACCTTCTTGCCCTTGGCTTCAATCAACTGATTGGATCCAACCACAGAGAATGGGATACTGGCCTACAAAGAGACACACCAGGTAGAGAGGCTCCACGCAGGGAACCCCAGCTTCCACTGCGAACACAAGAACACAGGCATGGGCTGAGCACACTGCTGCTTACTACATGCTTCCTTGGCAAACTAAAACATTTTACTCAGAAGTGACAGGTATTTTCCACACGGGAAAAATTATATGGAACAAATTAAACCCACAATAACATTTCTAAACTTTAGGTGACAGCTATGTCAAAATATATTTAAAATAAAAATACTACTGTAACTGAATCTACCAGATAATCTGTGAAAGGCCAGCCTTCCACAAGGTGGCCCTCTATCAACTCCTTCCACAGCACTGATGACAGGCACAGGACTGAATCGTGTTAGGCATCTGGAGAGCACTCTTACCTTGAGAAGTCTAGTCTGCTCTTTAAAGTCCTCATCTTCATCTGATTCTGCATCAGGTAAGTGATAGATTTTGATGTTATGTTCTTCAATTTCATCCAGAATCTGAAAGGATGACAAACCAGGAGCAATTTTAAAACCACATGACATTTCAATCAAATCTAACTATTAAAAATATATCAGAATTATCCAACTGTCAATACAGAATTAAACCAATTACTGGTTTTCAAATAATTTTATACACTGCTGGAGCAGTATTTATGCTGGCCTTTCGGGCAGTCCTCTGTCCAGAGTAAACAATAATAATGCACCAGCTTCAGCGTATAAAGCAGGAGACGAACACCAATGCCAGCGCAGCAGCGACGAGGAGATCACACACCACAGCCAACCTCAGGAACCACGCATGCCCTGGGAGCAGCACAGCCTGAGGCCACAGGCACCAAGAGACCCACAAGCTTCGCCGGAGGCCAACAGAGGAGGAAGAGGCACATAGCAGAATAATCTTGCTTAAGGCTCCTAGGAGAGGACACAGTAAGACACCCGGGATGGCTGGACAGTAAGCCTCTCAGTGGGGTAAGCCAGAGGGACAACCTAATATCAGGCTGGGCTCTGGGTTTTATTCAACAGGCAACAACTGGCAGCAGAAGAACCACACCCTTCAACCAAGCAGGCCGCAGAGTGGCCTAGAGGGGACGAAATGCCCTCTGTGCCAGGCACTCCAGCAGGTATAGGCAGGCTAGAGCTCCCCTTACCCTCCTGCAGGGTCCTGGGCCACAAGGGACAAGCACATACGCCAAGTTGGGAGAAATAGCCCTACTTTAGACCCTAATCTGGCAATGGATCTTCTTAATGGGAACTCTCAGGCCTTTCTGATCAAAGACCTCTAACCTGACACACTGTCTGCACAAAATCAGGATTCATGAAGAGGTCTTTCTCCCTCCTCCCAAAGTCCTTCCAGCATCCCCATTCTTAGTTGAGGCAGAGGAATGATTTCCCCCGTGGGAGAAGGAAGGCAGTAAGCGTAAACCTGCTGTATTTCTTCCCCTTTCCTGCCCATTACCCATCTCTGCTGGCCCATCTGCTCTATGTTGTCCCCATCAAGACAGGGTGTACACTGAGGATGAGAATCCAGTGGAGAAATAGGTAATAAAAAGGCTACTTTGAATTGGAAAAGAGGAAAAAGGAAGTGATGAATCAACAACAATCACAGATTTCTCTGTCTGGGCGACTGCACCAGAGATGAACTCAGGTACAGGGCCAGGAAAGCTGGGAGACAAGCTCAGGAGCGGGGGAAGAAGAGACTCTTGTTTACACACATGAAAAAGAAGATTCTCAAAAGGGAAAAAAGCAGAAGCTACAGGAGATGATATGATGAAAAGAGTATTAAACCGTGCCAACATTCAGGGGTTAGGAAAACAGGTAATGAAACAGGCAGAAAGACAAGTTCTGAGCTTCTGTAAGCACAGCGCACCCCGCTGCTGAGGCCCAAGTGGAGGGACAACTGCTGCTGGCTGATGGGGAGCCAGAGTTCGAGATAAAGGAGAGGGTAGGAAACAATACCGGGAAGTATAAGACCAAAGCAGGTCTGCCAGAAGTTTTTCTAGATCAGGGACTGGGGAGGTACCAGGAGGTACAGGGGAGAAACCAGATCAAGAGGAGGGATTAGGAAGACCAAAGATGAAAGCGATAAGGGCAAAATGGGAATTCACTTCATCTCAGACTTTGAAATCAAGCCCTAGAGTTCTGGACATAGGATCAGAGATGGGAGGATACAATATTCTAACTCTGTCCCTGCTCCCCTACCTCTCTGAAATCCAGCGTAAAATTCTTTATTAGAAAAGGTGGAGTTCCCCTAAGTGGGAGCTACTCAAATACATATGGTCCAGCATAAACGTGTCAAAGCTTTCAGAGGCTCTCCCAAAGGCTTGGATATTTCCTAAAGGACTGGCAGGCACTCAGGCAACAGAGGAAAAGGCTGACAAACATGCATGCATACAAATGAAAAACTCTGCCATGACAGAAGACAGCAAGAAAATTGTAAAAACAGAAAAATCAAAACTAGGTCTGAAAACAGTGTGTTTCACTGTTTCACTTTTATTGACCCATAAGTCAATTAAAAAAAAAGGCAATGAAAACAAAGCACAGGCTCTAAAACCTCAGAGAGCATACAAACAGGGATCAAGCAGCAGGACACAAACACACTCACATCAGCAACTGGGAAACACAAATGGAAACCAGATGCCACTTCATTTCTCAGATGGGAGACATTTTAGAAAAACTGGTGACACATCTAGGATGGTTCCAGGTGTGCCAGAGGGCAGAGTGCTCACACTGTTTTGGGCACGTAAGGTGTTACAAACTTGTTTTGAGGGAAATTCAAACTTTAATTTTTTCTTTTAAAGACTTTTTTTTAGGGTTGCCTAGGTGGCTCAGTCCTGGGATCAAGTCCAGTGTTGGGCTCCCTGCTCAGCAGGGAGTCTGCTTCTCCCTCTCCCACTCCCCCTGCTTGTGTTCCCTTTCTCACTGTCTCTCTCTCTCTCTCTCTATCAAATAAAGTCTTTAAAAAAGTCTTTATATATTTGAAAGTGAGAGAGAGAGAGCACACTAGCCAGGGTTGGGGGGAAAGGCCAAGGGAGAAGCAGACTCCCTGCTGAGCAGGGAGCCTGATGCAGGACTTGATCCCAGGACCCTCTACTAGGGTCCTGGCAAAGGCACACGCTTAATGACTGAGTCACCCAAATGTCCTAGGGAAATTAAAACTTTAAATGTCCATCTTTAAATACTTAAAATGCCCATCCATATCTTTCTAAGAATCTGACTTAAATAATTCTGGGAAGGCAGACATGTACCTACTCTGTGTCAGGTACTGCTCTAGACTCTTGGAATATACAAGAAAGCTAAGCAAAGATCCCTGATGCCAGGAATTGCGGGATGATGGTGGAAGGACCAAGAAACACTCTGAAGAAATATTTTTGTGTGTGCTGGGAATGCTCTTATTCGAGATAGAGAGAGAGTGTGTGTGCATGTTGCTCTGAGCTGTGTAAGGGTGCGGGGGAGTGTTTTCTATGTGTGCTGGAATTCTTAGAAAGTCAAGTGACAGTATAATATGTACGCTATGGACCCATTCTATAAAAACAAAAACATAAATAGACTATGCTTTGAAAGGGTACGTAGATAACTGTTAACAACCACTGCTTTTACAGATAATTAAAGGGGAACCTGGGTGGCTTAGTCTGTTAAGCGTCAGACTCTTGGTTTCAGCTCAAGTCATGATCTCAGGGTTGTGATATCGAGTTAGGCTCCACGCTGGGTGTGGGGCCTGCTTGCCATTCTCTGTCTCCCTCCCTCTATCCCCACCCACATCCCTGCTTACACTCTCTCTCTCAAAAAAAGAAAGAAAGAAATTTTATTTGTAGAATTCTGCATATGAGCTTGGCCTTTTTTAATGAGCATACAAATAGAAAACAGGAAAATAATTAAAAAATATATACCAAAGAATCCACGAAGAGGTTTTTAGGATAACACAGAAAAAGGCACCAGAGACGAACAACCAGCACACGGCTGCTGGGAGACCAGGGGCACTTGGGCTGGTGAATGGACAAGTGCAAGGCAACCTCTTAATGGCCAAAACAGAGGCCATTTAAACAGTCACAATAACAGATTACAATTAAAACATATTCCTAACCAGACGGTTTGTAGTAAAAACATTTAGATCAACTAACAACTTCATAGAGACGATCATACTTCCACACCCACATCACTCACCTAGCACATGGCGTCCCTTCTACTCACTGAAGGCGTTTCATGTAAGGGGAATTACAGAGAATAAGAACTTGACAACAGTGAGAATATTAAAAATCTACAGGTGTTCGGTATTCCTTAAAAACCATCAGACTCCCCGCCTGCTCCCCCGTATCTCTGACACACATCCACTCTTCCCCAGGCTCCTGGCCCTCAGCTACCCCCAGTGTGAGACACATACCCTCTTCTTCAAGCGCTCCCGTTCCTTCAGGGTGAGCGTGTCGGCTTTGGCAATGACAGGCACGATGTTCACCTTATTGTGTATTGCTTTCATAAATGCGACGTCTAAAGGCTTAAGTCTGAAAGGAGTGAGAATGTCACAAATTCAGGGGAAGAACAGGGAGACCACACATTTCTTTTCTCTCAAAATTATCTCTCACTTCTTGTATTAAAATACACAACTTGGGGGAAGCTGTCAACCCACCAAGCAGAAAGGAAATTCTAAGGACTTGTTGGTTTCTACAGTAAGCGGTCCACTTACCCATGTCCAAAGGGCGAGATAAAGTAAAAGCAGCAGTGCACTCTATTATCAATGATGTGCCGTCTGTTCAAGCCACTCTCGTCATGCAGGTACCGTTCAAACTGCTCGTCAATGTAGGAGATGATGGTCTTAAAACTGTGAGAAACATAAATAGCAGTAACAATGGGATACAAAAGGCAGGCAGCTCCTAACTTCAAAGACAAAACCAGTTTTTTTCTGTCCCCTGCCTCCTACCAAATGTAATTTGGTAACTCACTCAACAGATGGGACTAGAAAACAGGCTCCTACGTTCGGCAAGATGGAGGTTTTTGGAAAGTGTGCCAAGCTTAATTTCCCCCCAAGTGCCGGGGGGTGGGGGTGTGTGTGTGTCAAGGCCTGAAGAGAAGCAGTGAAAGCACCTGAGGTGACTGAGCAGAGGACTGCCAGATCACACAAGGACTGTGAGTGCACAGAGGATGGGGCAGTGTGTGACACCATGAACCACTGTCGTAGGATACAAGGAGCAATGCAGAGCAGGGCACGACTCCCGAGGAAGGAAGGGAATGGGAGAGCCTCTCCCTTCCCCCTCAGCTGCTGGCACACCCATGCTTTACACCCCACAATACAGGAGCCCACTGCTTCCACCATGACGCGGGCCTCACTGCAGGGCATGAGGCCAAGTGCCCTTCTGTCTGCGGCTGTCCTCTTGTGCCACAAGGCTGAGGATCATGTCTGTAAGAGGAAGGACTTTCATCAGAGTCCTCTCCACTGGCCAGGGTTCATTCAGATCTGGGGGTTTCCTTTATATGAGCAGTTGATGAATGGTTGGCTCTTACAGAAAAAATAATTTTTTCTTTGTGAGAGTCCTCATTTAAAGTGTTATCATCAGCGCACTGTGAACTGTCCCACTGCTTTATTAGACACAGCTACCTCAAACCCAATCACCACCTGGACACTGTAAATGTGAATGCATTCAAATAACCCCAAGCACTTCTGGAGCCGTGTCCCCGAGTGGCGTACCAATCCCTGCAGTTGATGGCGTCCCCGTAGCCAGGCGTGTCCACCACTGTCAGGCGCAGCTTGACCCCTCGCTCCTCGATCTCCACAGTCGAAGCCTCAATCTGGACAGTTCTTTCAATTTTCTCTAGAAAAACAAGCTTAATGAGAAATGTACCTAAAAATCAACCAGTTTTCAAAGAGGAAAGATGACCTGTTAATTTCTTATTAATAAATGACTCAGAACTTCATTACCCCTCTTGGAGGAAGGTTTTCAGAGGTAACACAAGGACTGTGTGAAGTGAGCCCCAAGTTGGCAAGGACACCTGGCAGCTAAGATTAAATAGCAGCTCAGGAGAGTTAAAATGGCAACATTGAAAATTATGACTCCTGCTGCTGATGCAAAGAGAACAATTTATGACTATTTAAAACTGAATTCAGAGATACTTACAAGAGGGCTCTAGGTCCCAGTGTGGCGGCCCGGGTCCTAGGTTCCGATGGGGTGCACTAACCCACCACGCTCCCACAACATGCCGGGAGGGCACACCCTATTCCCACAGTGGTCAGCTACTCAAAGAACGCTCTTCATGACAGAACACTTTCCCGTGACCCTGAAACATGTACTGCAGGCAGAAACTATTCCTTATCCTTCTACAGTAAAAGGGAACACACACGGAGAGGCTGGGCCTATGGATTCATGCTGCCTACAAGCAAGACCAAGGCCTACAGCGGCAGCACCTTTTCCAACAGAAAGAACATGGTCCTTGTGTTTAAAGCAGAACCAACCCACAAGGCTGAGGCAAAATGACCATTCCCGTGCTCTCCATAGCTCCCACGCAGAGAACTCCAGCTACAGCACACGGGGCTTCCATACCTGCAGCTCCGGGGATGATTCTTTCTGGGTAAAGGTCAGTCAGGAACAGGCTGTTTATGAGAGTTGATTTTCCAAGACCTGATTCACCTTTCAATGAAAATGAAAACACTGTCAGGACACGAGCCGCACATCACAGGTAATCTACTGAGTTGATGTGGCACAGGGTTCAGTACTAACACGTGTCCTCATCTGCACTCCATTTGACCACTACCACTTTGGTATGACTCTCCCCATTTCATTGATGGGGAAACAGGTGACTCTGCTTGGAGAGCTATCCAGAGCAGGGCCTTGATGGGAAAAGATGTGTACTTCGTATCCTAGGAGACAAAGATCTAATCAAGAATTGCCATTTATTTGAAATCAGGGCCTTTATCTGAATCCAGGTCTTTGAGTCTCCAGAATTTCCACATGGTAAGATCAGAAACACACTCTTAGTTCTTCAAAAAATGTGTGGGATGGACTTTAGAGGTGGAGCTTTATTTTTTTTTATAAATAAAATGCAGATTAGGTTTCCAGTTATGATTTTTGCTGTCAAAGCTACCACATTTTCAGGCAACTGAACAAATCTATCGAACAGTGTCAACAGCACTCTGGCTTGCCCAGCTGTGGGACACACAGAACACATGCCCGAGACCACAATGGAGCCCGCAATCTCTCCCTCCTGTCACCAGGGCAGGAGCAGGCCACCGCTCCCCCTTTCCTACTGTCACACATTCCGTGCCCCACCACCGGCGATGGTCTCATGTCAGGCAACCTGCCCACTCAACACTGTTGAGTGTGACAGGACCAATTAAGACAACACATACTCACTTGAGCATGTAATGAGTTAGGAATTCTTCCTCAACTACTATCAGACTTGAATTCAGGATGTTTTGAGTTCTGTAATATTTGTGGAGTATTTGAAACTTAATTTCCAGGAGGATGCAAGACAGCTAAAGTTAAGTGTTACAACCTAAGGAGGCACGTGCAGATTCTACCGTCTCCGTGCAGGCCATCAACTAAGGCTGAGTTCTGCCCAGAAAAGTCCTTCTGAACCAAGTGCCTGACTGTGCCCAGGGCTCCTTGGTCTGAACCTCCCTCTGCTCAGTCCTGCGCAGCACATGCAAGGGGCACACATCTATTTTAAAAATCATTATTTCCAGGAAAATGAAGAACGAATTTGAAATGTGTAAACATACACAATTAGGACTGGACTTTAACTAGATTGCAATTTTCATATATGGAAAGGAATGTCAAAAAGACAAAACCAGAATTACAGGTTCAACAGGTACAACTATATGAGCACACCAAATTACCCTTTTAAACTGCCTAACCCATGTCCCCTTACATTTTTATCACATAATGAGAGAATTTTTACCAATAAGTGCTCAGTCCTTTTGTGTGCCTGGCACAGGTCCAGGCTCTGGGATACAGCTAAATCCCTGCTCCCATGAAGCCTGGCAGTCCAGTGGGGGAGAGGACAAGTAAGCAAAGTCACTTTGTCACCAACAAAGTGATGACAGCTGTGGGCAATGAAGCTAAAAGGGACCGTGACACAGAAGACCTCTCAGCAGAGTATCGGAATAGAGACAGCTTCTTTGAAAGAAAACAGCTAGTATTCCAATGGCTGACTCTAAATTATAAACCTTCACTTAAAGGGTAGAAGTATCTTCACTTGGAATGGCTTTCAGGCAACATCTATAAATAATCAACTCGTGAACTCAGAACATGATGCTTTTGGGCTGAAATCTCTGTTGAATGACTAGTTTTTTGGATTCCACCTTCACCAGCGTCTCTATCCCACAGGAGCTTCTTAGGTGCCTTTACGTGAGAGGCACAAGAACTCAAGAGGAGATGTGCAGTGGAAGCCCCACAGCACAAGATGCACCAGTCTCAGCAACCTGAGCTAGCAGTCCTGTTCGAGTGGTGACAGCAAAGGCTGACTGGATGGGAGGTACTCCAGGTTTACAAAACGGCTCATATTTTTACCCACTAGGGAGAAATACACAGCATTGGGCACAAGGTGGCGTCACCACATGAAGACACGCGCAGGTGATGGAGGTGAGCAACATTTCACAACAGCCTTCTGCAATCCCGAAGGGCACAGGGTCCCAGGAGCTTCTAAACTCCCTCACCCCCCAAATTGAGGCCAATCCAGGAATACCAGTAAAACAAAAAACAAAAACAAAAAGCTCTCTAACCTGGGGGGGCTGGTCCCCTTCACATTTACTTTTCAACTTTAACTAGAACAAGACAGTACTTTCTCAAACACTGAGCAACATGGCCATTTTAGAGGGTCCCTGAAGGGCAGCACCCTAAGTGGTCCTCAGAGTGGAGAGCCGCACAAAGAGGTGCTATTTCACGGGGAAAGGATGCTCAGGGGGGCCCCATGCAGCTTGGAGCAGCCACTGTCCCACACGCACATGCCCTGAGGTAGGAGTCCCCTGAACATGAGTGTGCATTTTCAGAACCCATGAACCTACAATGACGCCAGTGTATTTTCGCCAGAAGGGAGTTTCCATCTTCTTAGCTTAGTTCCCAAGTTCTCTGAGTATTCACTCTGTAACCCGCTCGTGAATTTGGTCACATTAACTGACCTATGGTTCTACCAGGTAACGTATTTTGGTAATAAGCTTTATATTTTTAATCTCGCATTTCTTGTGAATGGAGCCAACACCCACCTCACATCATCACTGTGGGAGGCTGGACACTTGATATAAACTATCACCAACTATGTGACCAGTTGATCAGACTTCAGCAGCATCAAGGTCCCTCACAAGCAACCTGCCTGCCACCTTGCCTCTGTCCTTGGGATCTTTAAAAAACATACTTGTCAGGGTGCCTGGGTGGCTCAGTGGGTTAAGCCTCTGTCTTTGGCCCAGGTCACGATCTCAGGGTCCTGGGATTGAGCCCCGCATCGGGCTCTTTGCCAGGCAGGGAGCCTGCTTCCCCCCTCTCTCTGCCTACCTCTCTGCCTACTTGCGATCTCTCTCTCTCACATAAGTAAATAAAATTAAAAAAAAAAAAAAAAAACCTTGTAATTTTAAAATTTCCTGCAGATTGCCACCCAAACATCTGAAGTTCTTTTTCTAAGATTTTATTTATTTGACAGAGAGAGGGTGTACAAGTGGCAGAGGCAGACAATCTGAAGCTGAGCCTGGAGCCTGATGCCAGGCTCGATCTCATGATCCTGAGATCATGACCGGAGCCGAAACCAAGAGTCTGATGCTTGATCAACTGCACCACCCGCGTGCCCCATTTGTAGTTTTTCATTTGCATGTGATCATTTTGTAAAATTTATTTCCTTATAAATAAGCCACAGTTTTAAAAACAATGCCTTCTCAACAGTCTGACTTACAAGTTAGGTGCACTGGCCTTTTCCCAATACAGGTTTTCCCTCTACCCAAAAGTCGTGTTCCTTAGCCCAAACAGCAGAAAGCAAAAAAGCAAATACCACTAATTGGTATGGGAACATTTTTTTGACATTCCTAGGCCCCCCAAAAAATCACGCCTGAGGCTTTTGATAGCTTAGAATACACCTTAACAGATGTGCAAAATCAATCAAGGCGATGCCCAGATGCTCGCACAGTTCAGGACTCTGGCAGCTGGACACCATGATGCTGAGTGGGAAGGCGCTCAGAGGGCATGCTGTCTCTGTCACAGCTCGCCGCAAAACCGATGCCAAGCTCTTCTGCTTGTCTTCCAGTTGGTGAAAATGGGCAGGACAGTATGTCTTTCATACAAGACCTAATGTGAACTTTCAGAAAGCAGGGGATACGTGTATACCATTTTTCTTAAGCTGCTAATAGTTACCATTTAAACTTGAGGGTTCTCGTGGTTAAGTTTCTAGCTGCTATTCACTACCCATCTCACCCTTAACCCCCTAACTACCTGCCTTCTTTCAAACCCACTTCACTGAGGTGTAACTTATATACATCTCAGTTCAATAGTTCCCTACACTCATCTCAACTGTGCTGATGGGTTTGACAAAGTACACACTCAGATAAACTCCACCCGAGACAAAGGATATCTAAACCACCAGAGCTCCTTTGCTTAAGTCAGTGTCAGCTCTACCTGTCTAGCATTACTGCAGGCATACACCCAGCTGTTTTCTGTCCCTATAGAAAATTATTCTAGAACTTCAAGGGACTATACAGCTTGCCTTTTTGTGTCTGGCTGCTTTGCTTTTGCTCGGCACAATTTGCTCTGGAGATGAATCCATGTTGTTGCCTCTCCCAATAGTCTGTTCTTTGTACCGCCTAGCAATTCACCCTTATACGGACACATCACCATGTGCTGACCCACCCTCCTGCTGGACATCTGCATCACGTCCAGTCTGGGCTACTGCAGGAAAAGTGTCTCTGCACACCCATAAAGTGTCTCTGCGGACATGCCATCACATCGCTCGCTCCCGGGTGACCACGGAGGTTGGGAACTGTCAAGCTACAAGGTATGTGTGTAACTGCGAAAGCACAAAACTAGTTTCCAAAGCGGTTGTGTCACCTTTTATTCTCACCAGCCGTTAGGAGGGCAGCAGTTGTCTATATCCTTGGTAACACCTAGACGGCCAGACTTGGAAAATTTCAGCCACTCCAGGGAGTGCGGGGGCGTCTTGTGGGTCAGTGTGCACTTGTACCTGATAACCAAGGAGGATGATGTGGGTCCTGACCATTCAGTGTCTCCTATGAAATGTCTGTTCCAATCCTATGGTCCTTTTTGTAACTGGGGAGTGTGTCTTCTTCCTGAGCTATACGGGTTTATGTTCTGGATACAAGTCCTACCTCGTATGTAGTGCTGTGAACGCTTTCTGTTTATGGCTTTTCTTGTTGTTATCTTTAGAAGAAAGAAAAATTTTTAATGAAGTACAACTTACTTATTTTGTGACTAATGTTCTTCACATTCTAAGCAATCTGCTTACTCCAAAGTCAAGAAAATTTTCTTGCCCATCTTCTTCTAGACTCCTTATAGCTGTATGGTTAGTGACTATGGGGTACAGTGTGAAGGAGGGGTGCACAGTCTCTGTGTGCCACATGACCACCTACTTGTTTACAGCACTATCTCCAAAATGACCAACCTTTCCGCCTTTGTATCACCTTGGCACCTTTGTCAAGAATCAGCTGACCACGTGTATGTGGGTCTACTTTGGGCTGTTATTCTCTTCGCTAGATTTGAATGTCTACATTTACCACACTTCACAGTTCCTGCTGGTACATCTCGAAATCAGATAGTAAGAGTCCTCTATGTGATTTGGTCTATTCTAGGCCCTCCGCACTTATGTTTACACTTTAAAATCAGACTGTTCATTTCTACCTTACACAAGCTTGGTGTGACTCTGACAGGCACTGTGTTGACTCTGAGGATCACTCTGCGGGCAGCAGGACACGGTCATGGGCACACCCAACATGCCAGCAGTGCTCACAGTTCCTCTGACCTTCCTTCACTCAGCCCATTTGTCATGTTGTCAGTGGGGGACGTGCACACCATTTTGCTATGTTATGTTCAGCAGTATGAATTTCTTATGTTACAGCAAATGATATTGTCTTTTGAAATGTTTTTATTACTATTGTTTTTGACTGTCTTTTAAAGGTCATTTTAAAATTATCTGTTGGTAATCCAGAGAAATCAAGTTGATTTTTGTGTACTGATCAGAACCTGCAATCTTGATAAAAATGACTTATTAGACTTAGTAGTTTTGGGATTCCTTAGAGTTTTTAACATACTCAAATCTTTTCACTTGTAATTAAGCATGTTTTATTTTCTTTCTTCATGAGAAAGACTAACACTAACTATAGGTTTTTAGTATATACCCTTAAGTTGAAAAAACTTCCTTTTACTTATTGCTTACTAGTATTTTTCTTCAAGATTTTATTTATTCATTTGAGAGAAAGAGTGAGAAAGAGAGCATGAGAGGGGAGGTCAGAGGAAGCAGCAGACTCCGCCTGATGCGGGACTTGATCCCAGGACTCCGGGATCATGACCTGAGCTGAAGACAGCTGCTTCATCAACTGAGCAACCCAGGAGCCCTAGCTTACTAATTTTTAAAACCTTTAAAGGGTCTGAAATTGTTACAACCGCATGTTTTAGGTGACGGCATGCATTTCCCCTTCAGAACCATGAGGACTGATTTTCCAATGTTAAACCACACACTCCTGGGATAAGCCCCATTGGTTAGGATATACAGTCAGCTTTGCCATAACATGAGCCCTGAAGTTGAGAATTTGTTCCAACACAACTGGTATGTTTGGGAACAATTTCGACATAATATAAACTTTGTATCTGTTTATGTGTAATTTCACTGTTGTTAAACTGGTGAACACAGAGAACCACACCCAGTAAAATCAAGCCATGAAAGTTTACTCCCAACATGTACTCCCAGAGCTCCCAACAACCTCAGTAAAGTGGTATCGTGGGAAACGGCCACTCAATCCTCTTGGCACAGCTCCCCATCCATTTTCACATAGCCAACCTTCCACCATTTCCTGATGCCCAATTTGACAAACTTCAGGGACTAGTCAACCCATAGTGACTACATTTGACATCAGATAGTATTTTAACCAACTAACAAGGTAAAAACCATCCTGATTACATTCCTCACTCTCTTCTAAATATGCCACCGAAATCGGGTTTTGAGTCTTGTACCCTTGTTTTCTTTAGGAGCCTATGATTTCAACTGCATTACTGTATAACATGGTGTGTTGTTGGTTTTTTTTTTTTTTAATTTATTTGACAGAGACACAGCAAAAGAGGGAACAGAAGCAGGAGGAATGGGAGAGGGAGAAGGCTTCCTACTGAGCAGGGAGCCCTATGCAGAGCTTGATCCCAGGACCCCGGGACCATGACCTGAGCCGAAGGCAGATGCTTAATGACTGGGCCACCCAGGCGCCCCTAACATGGTGATTTTTACGGAGCACATATACATTGTACTGTAGCAAAAGTGACTATGTTAATGAGCATTTTTATGTATTGCTGGACTTGCCTTAACTTCACTGAGATGTTTGTGTCTACGCTCATTAAGAGTTAGTCTGTACTTTTCTCATTACTGATTATGGGGTAATACTGGCCTACCAAAATACTCTCGCCATAAAGAGTGTCTTTGGGGGACGCCTGGGGAGCTCAGTTGTTAAGCTTCTGCCTTCAGCTCAGGTCATGATCTCAGAGTCCTGGGATTGAGCCCCACATCTGGCTTCCTGCTTTCGGGGAGTCTGCTTCTCCCTCTCCCTCTGCCATTCCTCTTGCTAGTGCTGTCAAATAAATAAACAAAATCTTAAAAAACAAAAAAATAATAAAGACTAGCATTTGTGAAAGTTCCATGTGCCCTTGAAAAGAATGTGTTACCTTGTAGTCCCTCAGCACAGTGCTCTGAATGTCAATTAGGTCACATTGTTTGATAGCATTATTTTAATATTCTGAAACATTACTGATTTTGTTTCAAAAACTACTATGCAGAATGTTAAAAACCCACTCTCACAAATTATTTTTCCTGATTCTGCACCACACCTCACTGAGCTTTGTTATTAAGTGTACATACAGTTAAGACATTGTTTTCCACTGTCCCCTGCATGTTTCTGACACCTACTTTTTGGCGTCTGGGAACATCCAGGTAGTAGACCGAAGTCTGCTGTCTGGTGTTGATGGAGCCATGTGAGGTTTCTCATGGTTGGGTTCCGCATGAGATTTTCTGCTCTGGTTGTTCAGGTTCATCCTGTCTCTCACCTGCCACAGTCATGGCTGCGCCCCTTCGGCCAGAGAGCTGCCCTCTCCCCATCTGTCTCATCTCGTCTTTATCTGCCTTCTTTTGGATTAAACAGGTTCTTGTGTTCTAGTTTATCAAACCTATTTGCTTTTAGTCAAACCCTTGTTTTCCTTTTCTAATGGCTGCTCCAGAGTTGACAACAAGCCATGTTAACTTAGCATCCCTCTCTTACAGAATATTCCATGAGGTCAATGTATTACAGCAGCCCTTCTACACACCCTCCTGTCCCTTGCTACTCTGGTTCATCATACTCCAACGTCATACCTCATTAACTTTGCTATAAAGGTAATTATCATTGAAAGAAATGAAAAACCAAAAAAAGTGTTTGTTTACCAACACAGTTGCCATTTCTAGTGCTCTACCTTTTCTGTTACCCTGAAAAATCCCATTTAATAATCATCTTTCTTGGGGTGCCTGGGTGGCTCAGTGGGTTAAAGCCTCTGCCTTCAGCTCAGGTCATGATCCCAGGTCCTGGGCTCGAGGCCTCCATCAGGCTCTCCGCTCTGCGGGGAGCCTGCTTGCTCCTCTCTCTCTCTGCCTGCCTCTCTGCCTACCTGTGATCTCTATCTGTCCAATAAATAAATAAAATCTTTAAAAAAAAACCATCTTTCTTCTGGTGTAGGTCTGATAAATTCTCTCAGTTTTTACCTAAAAATGTATTTCATTTTTTTTAAAAAGATTTTATTTATTTGACAGAGAGAGATCACAAGTAGGCAGAGAGGCAAGCAGAGAGAGAGAGGGAGGAGGAAGCAGGTTCCCTGCCTAGCAGAGAGCCCGGTGCGGGACTTGATCCCAGGACCCTGAGATAATGACCTGAACTAAAGGCAGAGGCTTAACCCACTGAGCCACCCAGGCAGCCCTGTATTTCATTTTTTTAAAGTCTCCATCAGAATTCCAGGCTCATGGTTTTATTCTTTCAGTATTTTAAACTATCATTTCCTATGGCTTATGTTATTCCTGCTAAGTCAGTGGTCCTTTTACCCTTCCATCCTCTGTATGCAATGTTTCTGTTTCCCACCACCCACTGCGTTCCTTGGAAGATTTTTCTGTTTATAACTGCTTTTCACCAACTGTTTATTATGTGCCCTAGTGTTGTTTTCTTTATATATATTCTACTTGGTGTCTGGATATATTCAATTCACTGTCATGTACGTCAGAAAAATTTCCATCTCAAATGCTGTTATTTTTTAAAAATCTCTAGTTATTTGTTAAGTGCTTTTTGGTTATCTTTATTTCATTTATATTCTCCTTTAGGTACCAGAAGCATATTTAAAATAGTAAAAGTTTTTGGGTGCCTGGGTGGCTCAGTTGGTTAAGTGACTGCCTTCAGCTCAGGTCATGATCCTGGAGTCCCTGGATTGAGTCCTGCATCAGGCTCCCTGCTTCAGCTTCTCCCTACTGATCTTCCCCCTCTCATGTTCTCTCTCTTTCATTCTCTCTCTCTCTCAAATTAATAAATAAAATCTTAAAAAAATAAATAAAATAGTAAAAATTCTTGTTCACCAATTCTATCACCTCTGTCATTTCTGGATCTGTTTCTATTGCCTGATTTCTCTCCTGGTTATGTGCTATTGTTTTGTTTCTTTGCATAAACAGTTAACTTTTTATTGGATGCTAGCAATTTTAAATGTTACATCGTAAACTGGATTTTGACATCCCTCTTTAATGAATGATGGCTTTTATCCTGACAACAGCTTATTTGTCAATCAGCTTAATCCTACAGGGCTTGTTTCTAACTTTGTTCAGGAAGGTCTAGAACAGCTTACACTCAGCTACTGGCAGGTCTCAGCTCCCTGCTTTGGGGGACTTCTCTATAAAGCTGCTGGCTGGTCCTCCTAACACAGTGACTGGCATCCCCCAGAGTGAGTGATTCAAGAGAAGTTAAGGTGCAAGCTGCAATCTCTTTTATGACCCAGTCTCAAAATCACACACCTTCATTTCTGCCATATCCTACTGGCTACATGGGTAAGCCCTACATAATGGGGGAGGGGGTAGAAAGTATCAGAAACACCAGGAGGCAAGAGTCACTGTGGCCATTTTGGAGGGTCACCAGCACTTTTACCACATACAAACAAGAAAATGACAGAAATATTAGAATTTTACTCTTCAACAAAATTTTCTAAAGAATTGTTTTTTCAAATTCCCAGTTACTGGATTCTGGCAACAAAGGAATCTTTCTTTTGACTTTATAGGCCACACTATTAAACCCTAAAGTTTGGGAAGGGGAAATATCCACTTATTTAATAAGCTTGAAGATATAAGCTAATTTCTTACCGACCACCATTAGTGTGAACTCAAAACCCTTTTTCACTGATTTTCGGTGAACTTGATTGGGAAGATTTGCAAATCCGACATAGCCAGGAGTTTCTGGATTTATAAACTGAGTTGGCTGTTGCTAAAATAAGATATTACAAAAAAAACACACACAAAAAAAACACCTTATCAGTTACTTTTAAGATATAACCAAACCTGTGACAAAGATATCATTAGTTCTCACAAATTAAGATATATATACTTTAAAAAAGCAAAAATTAGTACGATGATTATGCATCAGATAGTAATGAATACCCAAACACTCCAAAAGAAAAAGAAAGTAATAATCTTGCAATTTTAGCCACAAGTTCTGCTTTTCTCAGCATGCCTTTTAGAACTAATTTATTTCAGGGCTCTGTGCTAATTTGCCAGAGCTGATATATGCCAATTTATCAAGTGTAAGAACCCTACAAAATTCATAATGATAAATTATTTGAATTTTAAATTATTATTTGATTGGTCTGCTGGGAATGAAGCAAAGTAGGTTAAATGGATTGGTACTCATGCATTTAGAAACAAGAAACTGGAAATCTGAAAAAAGAAAGCTCAAAGCTTTTAAAATGTCAAATCAGAACTGTCTCAATGAATCAAATATATCAGTTATACTAAAAATGAGTCATATAAGTCTTGAGTATAAACAGCTTGAAAACACAAAGCAGTTTCTCCTTGTACTGTAGAGAAATGAGAAGATCTCTTACCTTAGACATCTTCAGTGAAGTTTCCTTGATCTGTTAAAAAAAAAAGTATATGTTTATATGTATACACACATTTGATGTAGCATGAATTGACATGTAAAGACTTACACACAAAGCATGAACACCTTATGTTTCACTCACCTTGTCAATTGCATCAAATTATAAAAATGAGATTATCTCATTATAAATTAAATATAAAAAATTAGATCAATTAAATCAGCCATATATACGTATGTATATATACAAACATTCCATATTTCCAATAATATCCAAACTAACTTTAGTACTGATTATATGTGAAGCACCAGGGACACAACAGGAGAAAAACACAAATGCTCATGACCTCTTGAATTATGATTTTTCTTCCTCTCTTTGAAACCTGTCTACAAGGAAAGGGTGCTTGTAGAGTACTATTTGCTATTGAAGGTTCCTTGAAATCCTGAGAACTAGTTTTTGACAATGGAGCACACAGAACAACATTTATAAGTAAAAGGAAAAGGACTGAACACACTGGAGTGCTTGAGGAGAGTAACAGTTCTAGAGACATCTGGAATTTTAAAATGAATTTTAAGACTTGAAACTTTGAGGAACATGGAGTCTGGAACTGGCTAACCTTTGGTAACAAAATCAAGAGATATATGAATGCAGTCAGATTTGATTCCCTCTGGAGCTTAGAAACTTAGTAGAAAGTTTCTTTCCTGTTCTTGTCTCCCCATCCCCCAAACCTTAACATTCCTGAAAACTGCACACCCTTTTTCCTTTCTGAATGTAACTGTTCCCAACCACCTCTGAAGACATGAGGGTCCTGCACCCCCATATGTGGTTTGGTTAATGAAGGCTGGCAGCTGTAGGATTTGCATCATAGTCTTGGTTCTCCTAGTGGCCCACTGGAAGTCTTACTCTCACCTATCTGGCAGGAATAAGAAGAGAGGCAGAAGAGGGCTGTGGACTCATGTGCAGCCTCGCAAACTATTGGCACCACCACTGCTGAGAAGGGAGTGTCTGTTCAGGCCTGGGCTAAAAGGGAGGACCACTGACTGAGGAGGTATGGAAACCTCCAAGCATAGGTGGGGAATTAAGGCAAACTTAAAGGGAAGTTGGACTGTTAGGCAAGAACAGAAGCAAGAGATGAATTCTGAAGAACCTTTTGGCAAGGAAAGGAATACAGTGGATCCTGGAAAAGCTTGGAGAACAGAGGTCCCGAGCATAATGACTCCAGTGACCACATCTCCCTTCTTCAAAAAGAGTTAAATAGGCAAGGTGCAGGAGGAGGAAGGCAGTAATTTTTTTTTAAAAGATTTTATTTATTTATTTGACAGAGAGAGAGAGAGACATAGTAAGAGAGGGAACACAAGCGGGGGAGTGGGGAGGGAGAAGCAGGCACCCCCCGCCAAGCAGGGAGCCAGACATGGGGCCCGATCCCAGGACCCTAGAATCATGACCTGAGCCTAAGGCAGACGCTCAACGACTGAGACACCCAGGCGCCCCGGAAGGCAATAATTTGACCCCCAAAAATAGTATCACTAGAATGAAGACGCAAGTACACTATTTAAAAGAAATAAAACTGGGGGCGCCTGGGTGGCTCAGCTGGTGAAGTGTCTGCCTTCAGCTCAGGTCATCATGATTTCAATTTCAAGGTCCTGGGATGGAGCCTACCACATCAGGCTCCTGGCTCAGTGGAGAGTAGTAATTTTTTCTCTCTCCCTCTGCCCCACTTTACCACTCGTGCTCTCTCTCTTTCTCCCTCTCAAATATATAAAATCTCAAAAAAAAAAAAAAAAAAGAAAGAAAAGAAAAGAAACAAAACTTGCTGGACCTAAAAACTATGATTTTCAAACTCAGACACTGGTAGCTCAGTTGAACAAACGTCCACAGCTGAGACTCAAACTGTGACTGGGAAGACCAAATATAAGAATTCTTAATGCACAGGCAAAAATACAAAGATGATGATCATGGGTAAAAGACTTGGAGGAACAATCTAGGCCATCTACTGTGTTAACAGAAAGAGTTCTCATTAAGTTAAGAAGGGACAGAGGGAGGAAAAGAATAATAGAAAAAAATTTTCCTTAGAAGAACAAAGATCAGAGTCCACACATTAACCAACTGTCTGGAGTGAATTAAGGTCTCTTGAACAGAAGGGACATCCTAGAAAAATTCTATGAATAATATAAGGATTAGTATTAAACTACCTCAGCAAAACCTCTGAGTTGGCAACGAGAGTGAGAGCATTCCAAAGGGAGAGGTGAAGGGGCAGAAGAAGCAGCAGACATCTTTTTTTCAAATATAGAAATTAAGCGTGTCTATAAAAGAAAAGGTAACCATTAAAAAAAAAAAGCAAACTTCCAAATTAAGAGACAGATATGGAATAGCAATTTGATCAAGCCAGCAAAATTATGGAAAGGAAACAAGAGGAAAAATAATAAAATCAATCATTAAGTGGACGGATATGCTTAAAACAAAGTAACAAAAATGCTAAAAACAAAAGGACAGGCTAAAAGATACTGGACTGGCCAAACACAAAGAAAGAACAGACAACAGTATCAGTCCAAGTGAAATTTAAGGTAAAAATGTGACCGTGATAAAAGAAACTATTTGCAGGGAAGATATAACATTCCTAAACTTGCATATACAAAACATTACAGTAGATAAATACATAAAGCAAAGACTAGGAAATATACTACGTGAACTTGATAAAAATATAAATCAAATCCAAGACTTTAATAGCAAGCATCTCTCCAAATTACAGATTCAGTAAACAGAATAGGGGCAAGGGCAGAAGAATGTGTGATACAACCAATAAGCTATAATTAACAGACACAGAATCTTGAGTTAATAAAGAAAAGCAATTAGTGAAAAAAATCAAGTAACTATTATAAAGAAAATTTAAGCAAATTTCAAAATATATTTTTACAACTGATATTTTCAACTTGTGATCTGTTAAAACTGGCTGGGGGGATAAAATACAACCCCAATTATTTGGAACACTCTGGATATCCTTTGGTTAAATGAGGGTGACAAAAGCAAAATCTCAAGCTATCTAGCTAACAATGGAAAGAAGACAAAAGCAGATCTGTGGGACACCGTAAAAGCTTCATAGACTCTGATGAGAATTTCAGTTTTAGATATTCATTAAAGAATACAAAAGATAAATTTGTTCTCACAGTATTGAGAAATGAAGTAACTCAGTAGAAAAATAAATAGACCCAAAAGCTAGTTCTTTGAAACAAATTTCTTCACAAGTCCCATTTAGGGGCGGGGGCAGGGAGTGGGGGCCAATACAGAAAAGAAGTTAAAAAAGATAGACTCAGGAGACTCCATGTATCAAGATGGCCACAGATTTGAAAATCTGGAAGAAATGGATGACTTCCCAGACACTGTAAATTACCAAAATGGAACCAAGAACTGGAAAACCTGACGAGAACAAATACCACTGAACAGCTGAATAAAATCTACCAATGAAGAAGGGACCAAAAGCAGGGAGAATTAGAGCTGCATTCCATCCAACCCTGAACAGGTAACACCCATGTCATTTAGGCCAGTACAGAAAAAGGGATAGCACTCCAATTCATTTTATGAAGAAACTACAACTCTTAGCAACAAACCAGAGAGAGACGTAAGAAAGCTGGCTAGATAGAGGTATGTCAATCTCACTCATATAAACTGCAAAAATTCTCAATGAAATAATTTGTTAGCAATTAGGTTCCAGAAATATACCAAAAGTATCTATCTACATAAAGCCGTTACAACAAATTAAAGGAGATAATTCTATATGAATAGATGCTGAAGAGACATATGATAAAATTTAGCAACCACCTATAATAAAAACACTAAGGAAACTGCTTAAATAAAACCCAGGGTATTCCCAAACACCAATGGTAAATGTTACTCTCTCCACAATGGAATACTAAGTCTATTTAAATTATAATCACTAATTAGGCAGGGAGGCCCATTACCACTGTAATTATTTAAAAAAAAATGCTTAATTCTCTGTCTCATTTTTTGGTTGTTCATTTGAATTAAGATCCAAACAAGATCCTCATATTGTAATCTCACCATGAAATTCAGTGAAACAACAAAAGCTTTTTCACTGATAAGAATAAATAGACCGAACACAAATGGTTCAGTTAAACAAAAACTCTAGGGTCGCCTGGGTGGCTGAGTCAGTTGAGCCTCCAACTCTTGATTTCAACTCAGATCATGATCTCAGGGTGGGGGGGCGAGGACCGAACCTCACTTCCAGCTCTGTGCCCAGCAGCAAGTCTGCTCAAGATTCTCTCGGCCCCTCCCCTCACCCAAATAAATAAATCTTAAAAAAAATCTAGAATAAAGTAATTTAGTAAGGCGGCTGGATAAAAGCCAGACACAAAATAATTCCCTCCTGTACCAGTAATGAACATAAAGGAATGGAAATAGGGGTGAAATGTCATTTACAACAGAATTAAAACAAAAAGCAACCAAGCATGTAAGAACAAATTTAGAAAAAATAGGGTCTAGGTAAATCAATACATTTTTATTTCTCCTGAATTAGTATATAAATATGGTCCAACCCCAGATGGAATCCTAATGTGGGTTTTTTCTTAAAGGACTGGATAATGTGATCTTCCAAGTTTACATGGAAGAGTACAAGTGGGAACTTGCCTTAAAAGCTATCACATGTATCTTATTTCATACCAGCCCAATAGGACACAGGACTGTCATGGAGGTCTCTCCTGAACAGACTTGCTTCTTCTCTGTGAGTCCTGGACCCCTGCTTGGGTTCTGACCAACTTCATCTGAACACCGTGAAAATGCTGTACCTCGAGCCCACCTGTGTTCACCTTATCCTGTTCAGCAGGACAGAAGCTGTTCCTTTGGAGAGAAGGGGAACTTTCACTGCTCCCTATCAGTTTCCTGCTGGAGGGAAGGCAGGGAGACCTATCTGGAAGCACATGTATAGAATAATAGAGAATACAATTATTGGAACAGGCTATGAATTCTTTAATTTAGCAAGTTTTTCTTGAAATATGCTATTTTATACTCAGTTTTTTTCCCTGAGATATAATTTGGATCCACTACGATTTTGGAACAATATAAGTTACTAGCTAACTAATGTAAAATGAAAATTGAAAGAGGAAAGTGGAACTTTTTGAAGCACATGGTTTTCAGTGAGAAAGCCTTGATCCTACAACACAAGATGCTAATTACTGTTGATTAATTTAAACCATGACTGCAGTCCATTTTGATTTCCCAAACTCACTATGGTCAAATAAAAATTTTGTTCTTTCCGGTAGTGCTCATCCTAGATGCTAGCAATTGTTTAAACATTTGTCTTTACTTGAACGTGGCTTCCTTCTTCCACAGAGCAATTCTCATAGAACAAAGCAACTTTTCCAAAACAAAAGATGAAAAACAGATGGATAAAATCAGATTCTTGGCAATACATATAAATTTATTTTGCTAGTGGTATTTACACTAGTACATTGCCCCTCACTACTAATTACAAACATGTTTAATCTTCTATTTACATACATTACCCCCACACACAAAATGACCCTGCTGTACAAGACCCCAAATGTCCATAATCCCTAATCCAGGGCGGGCTCTTGAGACATTCAGCATTCAGATTCTTTGGATTTTAAGAAGGTACATACACTATACAACACAACCTCCTCAATGGCTACTTGGACAGCACACCCCACAATCAAATGTATCTTCTATAGTGATATACATGACCATTAACACAAATTGGTATAAATACAGAATATAAAATGGCTTCAACCCAATTCTGCTGCCGAATGAGTTCTGATGTCCCCTTCTCTCTGGGAAAAAAATAAAAAACACCTTTTTCTTTTTCAACAGTTTCTGTCTTTGGGTATAAGAAGGAGTTGGGTATAAAAGGGGACCTGAATCACATTTATGTATTATGACAGAGGACCGTCTCACCCCCTTTCCTTCCCATTTCTCTAGGTCACCCTGCTAGCGCAAAGGCAGTCAATGCAAATGTGATCTGATTGAGAAGCCCTTGTTCTTTACCCTGGAGTGCTGTGCCAGGTGAGAAATCCAAGTGGAAAATGGGGAAAAGCATCAGGATCACCTTCACAGCTGAGTGCCAAGATCTGACAAAGCAGTACACATTGTGAGTTAGGATATGGGTGGTACAAAGAAAGTTTGAGTGGCAGCTACCAAAACGGAAACTAATGAACCTCAAATTACAAACACTAGGAAACAGTTTTCGGGACCTCTACACTACAATGATTTGGACTGTTCAAGAAACTTCTAACAACCTACTATGTGCCAGTCACTGTGCTAGACACAGGGTAAGGGTGACAAGACTCGCCCATCTCCTGCCCCTCAAAGAGCAACAATCTAGTAGATAGCTACCAGAAGGAACAATAAGGGCCGACATCCAGCGCGCACCTAATCCAGCCAGAGGAAATCTATACTGGGCCGAATCCTGAACAACAGAGAAGGGACTACACAAGAAAAAACAAAGAAGGTGGGGGAGCTTACTGGGTTTCAAACAGAAAGAAGGATTTGGGGCAAGACCAAAGGTGACAAAGACCCAGCAGTTTGAACCGCAAGTTCAGCTCTACGTGTGGCGGGAGGACAGACAAGATAAGGGACTGGTACTGACAAAAATGAGCCAAAAAGGTAAAAGGCGGCCAGGTCTTGTGGGTCCTCCGGCCACCAAGCGGGGACTTTCCTGAGAGCAAAGGCAGCCACAGGTCAGGCCTTCGTGGGAATGGTGGCCGCCACCCCCATCCTTCCGGGCCCAGCGGTGCACCGGGCAGGGGCCGCCGCCTCCTCCTCTCCCCTGCTTCGTCTGCGGCCAGGAGGAGTCTTGGGAGCTCACCAAGACGTCAATAACGTGTGAGGGCTCCTCTCCGCCAGAGGATTGTGGGGTGGAAGGGCCAGGTCGGGGCGACGACCGGACGCCTCACAGGCCGAAACCTGGGCTTTCCCTCCCCAACCACGACCGCCAGCGCCGGGTGGGCGCCCCGGGCCCAGCGCCGAGACCGCCCCACCGAAACCGCCCTGGGACGGAAGGGGGGGGTGCCTTGGGTTCTTCCGGGACACATCCCGCCGTGAGGGCCTGGGAGACCGCGGACCCCGCGGAGGAGGAGGAGAGCCGGGGACCCCGGGCCTGCCGCCCCTCCCCCACACCAAACAAGCCGCCCCGCCCGCGCGCTCCCGCAGCCGACCGACCGACCGCCCGCGGCCAGCGGACACCCGCCCCTTCTGCGTCGGCCTGCAGGTCGCGCCCCCCGCCACGGCGGGGACTCCCCGCAAGAACTCACCGCCGACGAGCAGATGAACAGGCACCTACCGATCGCGCCGCGGACCCGCCCAGTGCCCGACGGACGCTCGCGCTCCGCCCTGTTCCACCCCGTGCGCGGATGGCGTCATCACGTCGACCCGCCCCCTTGCCAACGCTTTCCACGGCTCGGCGCAACCTGGCCTTCCTCCCCACCCCCATTCGCCGGCTTTCGAGTGCGCAGGCGTAGGCCTGTCCGCGTTTTCCGCCTCTGCGCAGGCGCCGTGCCCCTCCCACGGCAGTTGGCCATATAGAGGCTGGGGGTGGGGGGGGAGGTCAAGCGTAGCCTCTTCTCCTTTACCAAGATGGCGGCTTGTCCCTGTTTCGCCACGGTTCCTACCTTATGAGCTTGGTTTCTTTACGCTGATAAGAGTGGAACAGGTAATGTGAGTCTTTGCCTTGTGGGTACGTAGAGTGGGATGAAGGGTGTTTCTTTACAAGGAGCTAAGTGACCGCTGAGGAGAAGTGGACGGGGTAGGACAGGTCAGGGTAAGAGTGCGGAGCGACCACGGGCCGGGAGCCTTCGCCTCCGGCCCTCTCCTCCAGGAAGATGGCGGCAGCACCGAGCTGGGAGAGCCGGAGCGGGGTTGCGGAGGGTACGGCGAGCAGCCGGACGGGGCTGCTCTAGCCCCGGGCCGCCGTCGTCTCGATGGTGTGGGGGTTTTGCCCCCATTGGCCGCTGGGGGTCACGTGATCCGGCGGGGCTGTGCGCGGACCATCGAGTTGGGCGTCCGTCCCCGGGGACGTGGCCTTCTTGCGCCCGGGCTGGGGCCTGTGCCCCGGGGGGAGGGCGGGGCGGGCGCGGCCTCTCGCGGTCTCCTTGCGGGCAGGTCGCCAGGTGAGACCGGGGAGCGTCCCTGAGCCCACCGCGGCGACGTGGCTTCGGTACAGCCACGGAGCTGCGCCGGCCGGTGTGTCCTTTCTCCCTGCCGGCGGCCTGCAGGCCCGCAGCGGCGCGATGCAAATGCCTCGATCGGGGAGCGCTTGTGGAAGACCCCTGACTGAGCGTAAACAGTTTCCGAGGCCTCTGATGGGCGATGGCTGGGGAGGGGGGGGGTCCCTGGGGGCACCGAGAGGGCGTCGCTGGAGAAGGGGTTAGGTGTTCGGGGCATCGCCTCGGAAAGTGAGAGGGTTTGGGTCCCTGTGAGACCACAGGAAAAGCCTCTCCGTGTGGCTTTCACTGAGCCCTCCTTGTGGGCAGGGGAGCGCTCTGAGGCCTCCAGGGAGTGGCCGTCCCCGTGGCTTGGTGTCCTCCGCGGGACCGTCACCTCTTGGCTGGCAGGGATTACGGCAGGGCACGGCACACTTGGGATTTTGTCTGCGGCGGCCGGCAGTGCCGCACGACAGAGTAAGAGCGGTGTCGGTCTGTGGACTCAGACCTGCCGCCTGGGTTAGGGTTTGACGCTTTAGAACCAGAAGCGCCTCCGAGCTAACCTCGTTGAGTGTGGAAGCCGTGCTGTACAGGAGTCGGGAAAGGGGTTTGGTGAAGAAGGCCCTGTTTTTGGAGCTCCCGGTGCTCTGGGAGGGAAACACCAGCCGGCAGGCAGCCTGTCTTGAGACTTTGACGCTAGGAGACGGAGCAGCGCCCCTTCAACTCTTGAGGGACAACATTTGAAAGCCACTTTCAATTAGTGAGGACTAAACTTCCCGGTAACTTCCATTAAGTCCTTGTGTGTGCCGGGCCCTGTTCGTGGGTTCACCTCATTTCCTCCCACCGAGTTGACGTCAGCTGCGTAAAGCGAGCCACCCCTAAGGTGCGGTCGGCCCCAGCCGGTGGCTGTCGCAGGGCCCTCCCCCGTGGGCCAGGCTGACATCTCCCCGGCCTGATGGGAGAACTGTTCTTGAATCGCCAAGTTGTGTGCGTGCTTCCCTTGGTTTTCTTGTTTGGGGCATCTGATTGTCTGACTTTGGCCTCATAACTGCCCTTCTCCCGGGAACATACATTGCGAATTGTGTGCCGAGCACTCACAAGGATTCTAGGGATGGAAACCTAAAGAGGATATAGACCTTTTTCTTTTCCTTAAGCAGTGTATGGTCTAGTATGGGGGATTCACCTGTAAAATAATTAGGCTACAGTGTTTTGAGTGCAGCAGTGGGAATATGTACAAAGTATGGAGATATGAAGGAGGAGGCGCTAATTACCTGTTACAAAGTTTTTACAAAGAAGGTAGTTGTTGAACTGCATTTAGAGGATGAGTAAGAGTGTTGCCGGCATGGGGTGTTCTAAACAGGAAGACTAGCTTCTACCAACGGGATGCGTGACAGCTGTAGTTGGTGACACAAATGGGCAAGGAGTTGAGAATTGGGTACACTGCTAACATCTCAGATGGTGGAGGGCCTCGCTCAGGTTCTGTTCTGAAGGGCTTCATGCCCTTCTAGTCCTGTCTAGGATGCTGTGACTTGAACAGGTTTTAAGTGATTACACTGTCCACTTGGATGACTTAGGAGCAGTCCCAAGTGGATGAGCTAGGGTCTCCACTAATGCTTCCCACCTGAAACTTTTCCACTTATCAAAAGGGTCTGAGCAGAGAACACACTTCTTGAAGTACCAGGTGATACTTAACATTTGATGAGGCCTGTTCAGCATACATCAATCCCCACAGGGCTAGTGATCATAGGAAGCCTTTTCCCCTTAACTATTAAGAAATAACCAAACTCTTGGAAGAAACGGCACACAACTGAGTTCTTAGTTGTCAAGCGACAGTGGCAAGAGGTCCAGCATGCATATTGATAAGTTTTTGGCCAAGTGGAAAAATAGCCAGAGAGCATCAGTGTGTCAAAATGCCTTTTCCCTTAAGTTATAAAAGCACCTCAACACTCAACATTTGAAAACCAAGAAAATGAAACTCTTTTTATTTCTGTGACGTTTTAAAAATTGATTACACAAGTTATTTTATGCTAAAGTAAGTTTTTTTTTGTTTTGTATTTTAAAGTCAGACATTTTAAAGGATTTTTTTTTTAAGTTTTTATTTATTTATTTGACAGATCACAAGCAGGCAGAGAGGCAGGTGGAGAGAGAAGGGGAAGCAGGCTTTCTGCTGAGCAGAGAGTCTGACCCAGGGCT